AGCTTTAAATTCGAATTTGGATTTTCAAAAAATATCATTTGTTTGAATTGGGTATTGTTGCAAATAATTGGGAATTCTCTCTACGTCTTTCTCTATCTCTCAATCCCTAATTCCAATGATGCAAAACAAAGGAAAAGAGATCAGCAATTCCACCATTGACAGCCATTAAAAAGCTTTGAAGCTTTGAATTCGAATTTGNAATTGTATTTAAGTTGTATAATATTGTAATTGTATATAACTGAGTAAAAATAATGTATTAAACTTGTAGATAAGTTGTATAATATATAATTAGTTGTATGAAATTTGTTTTTACTATATACAAATCAGATACAAAATATACAAAAGATATATTGTATAAAATTTGTATAAAAATGTATTTAAGTGGTATGATATTATAGTTGTATATAACTGGATAGAAATAATGTATGAAAGTTGAAGACAAGTTATAGATAAGTGTAATTTGTTCTTTCAGAAAAAACGATTAGCCACAATGAATTTTGAGGATCTGTAAACGTCGAAAGTGCGTGTCTTATTATTGATTCGTCGACAACCCAATTTCTCTCTTATGGGATGAATTCCAAGACATAAAATTCCCAGCCAAAGACTGGCAATTTCATCAAACTTTTCTTAAGTAGATATTTGATGTGGCCTAAACATCCTTTTCTCAATGCAAGATTCCATAGGTACATCCAATCGACCTTAGTTCTGTGGTTGGCGATCAATAGAACACGTTCTTTTGGCGGAACATGATCACCAGAAAAAATCACATTGGTTTCATTTATTTTTTCAAATAAAAATGGCCATAATCCAAGCCTCAGACCAAACAAAAGCGCAACAACTTTCCTACTATAAAGAGTGCTGAAGAAGCGCAAGAGTACAATTGGTATTTTTCCTAATTATAAGTTCAATCTGGAGAGAAGAGGGGAGAGAGGAGAGAGGAGAGAAAAAAGGAAAAAGATATAACTAAATCCCTTGATTTAAGGCACAAATAATTGATTGGGAGACTTTTAAGGTGAAATATATATATTTTGTAGATAAAACTTGTTTAAATCGGGTAATTAACTAAACATGGACATTTTTAGTAATAAAGTTTCCAATAATGTATAGGTATGTAAAAATCCCTAAAAGATTACTCGATATACAGAAAAAATATGATAACGTTATATTTCTTTTTTATTGTGAAACTTTTTGCAGAAAACATTGAGGACTATTGGTACTTGGATAAGAGATTGACATTTTAACAACACATTATCAAATAAGGTTGTGATATAACGTATTAGGTCCTGAAATGACACTGTTGCCTCTACTTATAATGCGAAGGATGACATCCAAAGGACAAAATTGGATAAATAGTCGATGCAATTATTTCAAACCATACTCCATAATATCGTATTATAATATTAAACTCCATTTTAGAACAACAAACCGACAACCATAGCCAAAGTCGTTTGATTCATTGAACATATTCTTTTTCTGAAAGTTAAAGACTATTTCCGAAATTATAAAACAAATCAAATGTATGTTCTTACCAAAACTAACACAAATTTGACTTGGAAATGGTCAAATAGAATATGTAAAAACAAAAACAAAGGAAATAAGCAGTTCCAATTGTGAACCTTTTATTATACATGTTACTTCTAAGTTCACATAATCATACAAATTCTGCCACAATTCGAAAAAATACAGTAGATGGAAGCGCAATTTAACATCTCATGAATAAACTGCAGATCTTAGAGTTTTGATCGAACCTTCTCGATCAGTTCTCGTCTTAGGATTTTCCCAGAGGCTGACTTGGGGACACTGTTTACGAATGTCACCTTCCGCAATCTTTTGAAAGGTGCAACCTGCAAGACATATGGAAATTACATGTAAATGTTCAATTGTATTTGGTATAACGGAAGTCATTTTTCAAGAGAAAGATTGATAATGATTTCCACCTTTGGACCTACTAGAGCATGCTCTGGTCCAGCGAAATATTCAATAAAATTAGCTTGTGAAGTGACAATTAGTAGTATAATTTAGTAAATCCCACACCAACAGATAGTCTGACGATGGTCCGGGCTACACTGCTTAAACCACTCCCAATAATCAATCCAAGAGCAGATATCTAAATGGTTAGGATAAGATGCAGGAAGCGAGACTTAGATGGTTTGGGCATGTGAAAAAGAGGAGCGTAGATGCCCCAGTGAGGAGGTGCGAGAGGTTGGCCCTGGTGGGTTTGAGAAGAAACAGAGGTCGGACGAAAAAGTATTGGAAATAGGTGATCAAGATGTGGCTTTGCTTCAGCTTACCGAGAACATGAACCTTGATAGGATGGTATGGAAGTCAATAATTAAGGTAGAAGGCTAGTTGGTAGTCGTGAATGTTTCTTTTACATATCAATAGTATTAGTGTTAGTCTGGTGCGATACTATTGTGAGATTTATAGTTTTACGTGTTGTCCCCTTTGCTTCGTTTTCTTGTTATCTTGTTGTTGTTAATGCTTGTGCTACTGCTTTATTTTCATCTTGCCTTGATCTTCTAAGCCTGTTGTGCAGGTGCGCGCATCATGTGAATATCTAAGAGATGTCACTGTTTCGCGATCATACCTGATCTGCAATGAACTTCTGAACATCTTCTTCAGTTAGAGAGCTATTAGGCGAGCGAACAACGTATGTAATTGGAACCTCACCAGCCTCAGCATCAGGAAACCTATAAAAAAAACTCTTAACTTCATACATTCTTGGATCATCTTTTCAAATAACATTACAGTATCACATGACATTTTTCGAATAAGATAGCTTCAAAATTTACTAGAGCAATACTTACGGGATAACAACAGCATCTAATATTTCAGGATGAGAAACTAGTAGACCTTCAAGCTCTGCTGGTGCAACCTGATAAAGAAATAAACTTGAACTATCACCCTTGATTAATTGATATAAAAATCAATCCGCATCTGGAAACATTAAATAATCCATTGCTTATGGAAATGAAAATAGACACCTAATGTTGAACACTTGACAACACCTACTTGATAAGGTTATTTTCACTAGGTTACTAGGAATCGAAGTGAGAGCTTTTACCTATCCTTTCAACTTGCATATTAGTCTAACTAACAGGATAAAGAAGCACCCACGGATATGGTATAGTGATCAATGAAGTGGGTTGAGAACCGTGAGGTCTCAGGTCAAATCCCAGCATTCCGGTAGGAGGTAGCAAGTACCCCGTGTAATTAGTCGAGGTGCGGCGCAAGCTGACCCGGATACCACGGTTATCAAAAGGACGGGATAAAGAATCTTCCCGGAAGTTATTTGAGCAGAAACCAGCAATGTGGAAAAAGATAAAAATACCTGCTGGCAATTACAAGGATTAATCTTATTCTCACATCAAGCTATTTTATCCCTCAGAAAAAAGCATGTATGAAGATTCTTTTATTCTGCTTATCTTTGTTCTATTGAAGTTTCATTTTTATATGACTGAAAATGCAGTGAAAATGGACTAGCACACAAGACTCAAGTGATGGACCTCGAAACGAAGGATCCAGCAGCTCTACACCCTTCTTCTCCTTTTAGAAATACATGGGATAAAAGGTTATAGGGGGATTTACTTTGTTTATGAGTCTCATATGGAGTAACTTAATGTGGTCAGGTTGTACTGAATAATTCAGGCTAAAAAGACATAGACATAGGAAGTTTGAGGAAAGAAACATTCTTAGCATCTCGCAACCCCCAAGGTGGAAGTAGAGATCTATCTTCTTAATTCTGCATTTGCCGAGACCATCAAGAACCCTAAGTGTACTGCACGTGCAATTTTTATCTAAGGGGTGAGAGGCGAGCTTGCCAGGAGAAGAAAAGATCAGAGCAGTAAGAAGTATCAAAATTTATGCGATGCAACACTCAGCTCTTCCAACTTTTTTTCGTACACCCAGGATGCTATGTTTCGGCCATAAACGGGTCAAGGTAGAGTTTATCCATTTAAGTGCGGAGCAAAGTTGATGATATTCATAGATTGCTTAGTTATGGAGTCTCTCTCCAATGCTATTTGAAGTATAATGAGTTTTGACAATCTTTAATTCGACTAGAGCGGTAGATATTATATTTCTTTTAGTTCTTTCAAAGAGGATGAATGAGTGAAAAGAAGTTCATCCCGAGTAAGAAGGACAGGCAAATAAAAGAATCTATTATTGAGAGCACCCTAAACGGGAACCTCAGTGCTAAGTTCAGCAGCACATTCAACTGGTAAACCTGGAGTTTCCTCTCTCTGAAAAGAATGGTCAAACAATCATTATGCCATAGTCCGAATCTGAAAGAAATGGTGGTCCAGGAAAAGTTGAACTAGTCAACTAGGAAGCTATATGCTCTACTATGGAAACCTCTATGGCAAGGTACTTGGACTATATGCTGCGATGTCCAATGACTTAGGTTTACAAGCCCAAAGTTTATTAATCAATTGCACAGGAAACATACTGAGTCTCCTCTATGGGGGCTGCCACGGGCATTATCCCATGAAGCAACCACCACAGAGGCTGACTGGATAATAACAACAACAACAACAAACCAAGTGAAATCCCATAAGTGGGGTCTGGGGAGGGTAGTGTGTACGCACACCTTGCCCCTACCCTGGGGAGGTAGAGAGGCTGTTTTCGCAAGACCCTCGGATTGAGAGGAAGGATAGGATCAAACAAATATCAACAACAACAGAGGCTGATTGGACCTACTGTGATATACAGCTTGTAAATAGATAGACCTCCTAAGAGGAATTTCGCCAACACGTGATACAAAGCCTGTTAAAGAGTATTGAACATATGGGAGGAATCACAATATATAGTTGAGAAGATCATGTTGTGAGCAGTTGCGAGAAATTAATAAAGGTGATCCTTTTTGGAATCAAACCAAAATGTTTTTCCAAGAAGCTTTCCTCAGACAAAAACCAATTTGATTTAAAACAGATATCAGTTTCCTGAAATTAGACCAAAAAGCTTTCCAGAAACCTAAACAAAACCAACTCAGGTTTTCCAAAACAAAATGTTCTCTAAAAGCTTGTTCACAAAAAACTAATTGAACATGCAACTTCCCCCCTAATTCATTACTAAAAATTAAACAACAGTCGAATCCAAAGACCACCAACAAACAAAGAGTTCCTAATTTGAAAACTTAAGTTCAAGACAAGAAAAAAGGCAGTTGACATAGGAAAAAAACAGACATAATTTTAGTCCCTTCAGGATAAACAGACATAATGAATCAGAAAGACACGGTGTTTTTTCTCCCTTCAGCATATCAAATTTTGGCCAGGGAACTAATGCTATATGCACCAATTAGAGGCAAGACAGCATGTACTAATATAGATACAGCAAGTTCAGCTAAGTCTTTGCTACCGTTTGGCCATAAAAGAAATTCACTTTTTCCGAAAAAATTTCACTTTTTTCGATCTAATTATTTTCAATTTTCACTTGAAGATGAATTTCTAAATTTTTTGAAAATTTGAAAAACTCCAAAAAACTATTTTTCAAAATTCACTTCAGATCATTCACAAAAATTCAAAAACAACCCAAAATTGTATTCATGTCCAAACACAACTCTAATTTTCAAATACCATTTTTACTCGAAAAAAAATTTACTTTTTCCAGAATTTTACAATTCTTTTGTCCAAACTCCCACTTATTTTTAAAACCCGGAGGAAAATTTGCCATCACCAAAAAGAGGGTACCTGAAAACCTTTGCACTTGATCAGCTCTTTGATCCTATCAACGACATAGAGCATTCCTTCCTCATCAAAGTATCCAAGATCTCCCGTATGAACCCAACCCTGATTATCTATAGTGAGCTTTGTGGCCTGTGGATTATTGAAATAGCCTGAAAATAACAAAACTCCATAAAGAACAGGACATAAAACGCAATGCCTGCCCATCGCGAAATGAGAACCAGTATTCCTCAAAGTTAACAGAATTGAGTAAACTGCCATATGAAAACAATTCATTTTCAGAATAACAATTATTGCCTTGTCCAAAAGAAACATAGTAGCTCAAAAAACACAGTTCAGCAGATTTACATGCAACAAGGTACAAAGTGCAATTTCCGTTGTACCGGTTTTACCTTTTATGATAGCAAAAGAATAGAATTCTATTCTAGTCATACATACATAACTACACCAAATTTGGCAAAGATTGTACCTTGCATCATGTTGGGACCACGCACCCATATTTCCCCTAATTGTCCAGGAGGAAGAGGCTTCAGTTTATCAACACTAATTATTTGAGCTTCCACTCCAGGAGCCAAGGTCCCCGCTGATCCTGTGTGTCTCGGTCCAACATATGGACTCTCCACTGCCACAATTCCACATGTTTCTGTCATACCATATCCCTGAAATTATAGCACTATGAACTATGAGAATTCCTCCTAAGGTACTTACCAAATGTCATGACCATTCATGGGAAGCTATCCATATTGCCCATATGGGCTGTCTGGTTATTCATTTATTTCTCTCGCTACTGTTTTGGTGTTAACAGAACATTGTAAACAAAAGCATCAAAGGTCACTAAAGTTTTGATGTTTTATAAAAAGAGAAAGTTGTTTTGATGTTTTGAAGGCAAATGCCTAGACAAGGAGAAGTACTATTACTGAAAGGTTAAAACAACAACTACTACAATTAACAAAGGATCAGTTTCAAACTAGTTGGGGTCAGCTATGCAATCCTCTATATTCTCATCCATTTTGACATGTTCCGTTCCAACAAAAAATGCAGTCTGGTGCACTAAGTTCCCACTTCGCAAGGGTCTGAAAAAGATTAGATCACATTGGGTCTATTGTATAGAGCCTTACTTGCATTTCTGCAAAAGACGGTTCTTATGGATTGAACCTGTGACCTCCTGATCATATGGCAGCAACTCTTTGCCATTGCGCCAAGACTCCCTATCATTCCAATATTCGAGGTAGAAATAATGCAGCAAAAAAATTACCTGAAAAACAACAGCCTGAGGAAAGTTCTTAGCGCATTCCTCCATCAATTCCTTCCCTAAAGGTGCAGCCCCCGAACCAATATTCCTCAACGATGTTAAATTATACCTCTTCACCACAGGATTCTTAGCCAATGCTAAAACAACCGGAGGCACAATCCACAAATGTGTCACCCTATACTTATCAACAGTCTTCAAAATCATTTCCAAATCAAACTTAGCCATAGACACAATAGCACTACCCCTTTGCAATTGTGCATACATAATAACAGCTAGACCAAACACATGAAACATAGGCAAAACACACAAAAAAACATTATGCATTTCACCCTTCAAATCTTGATCAGCAGTTACCATTAAAGATGCAGCAATGAAATTCCTGTGACTTAAAACTACTCCTTTACTAATCCCTGTTGTACCTGAAGAGTACAACAATGCAGCAGTATCACTCTGATTTATCCCACTATTATCCAAATTCACATACCCTGATTTATCAACTAACTCAGTAAACGTTGCGCCACTAAAATTACAATCGTTTTTGTGACCCAAAAGCAAAATAGGTAAATTAAAGCCACTAATTTTATCAAGCAACTCGGGGACAGTTATAATAAGCTTTGGTTTACAATCTTTAATTTGCTTAGAAAGTTCAGAAACTGTGTACATAGGATTAACAGTTGTAGCAATAGCACCTAAAGCAATAACACCAAAGAAACAAAGAGGGAATTGAATAGAGTTAGGTGCAAAAATAAGAACAACGTCATTTTTCTTTATACCAAATTGGTGAATTAGGCCATGGGAAATTTTGGATACAATTGTTTTGAATTGAGAAAAAGTCAAAGTTTGACCAGAATCACCATCAAAAAGTGCTGGTTTTTCAGGAAAAGAGGAAATATTTCGGAAGAGAAAAGAGACCATAGAAAGATTTTGATCTTTTGGAAGAAACAGAGGAGGTCTAAGTGATCTGTATATTTCATCACGCCCATAACCAGATTTTTCCATTGAATTGAACACTATTTTTGACTTGATTTTTATGTAATGCTTTTTCTGAATTTTCAGTGGGAAATAAATTGGTATTTGGGATTCTTGAATTGAGGAGAAAAGATAGGAAAATGACAAGGAAATATATAAGGTATTATGAAGATTAGATAGAGGAAAGACAGTTTGTTGAGTCGTCCATGGTAGAGTCCACCATAATTATTTAGGAAAAGTCAAATATTTTGTCTTTTTAATGGTTATTAATTTACATAGTAGGTATAGTATTTGGTTACTGACTAACTTAAAAATTATACTATGAAATACGAGTTGCTGTTATGTTTATGATTGGGAAATATTCAAATTTGTCACTGCATTATTTGCAATAATTTAGTTTCACTCTTCGTCATACTTTTAGTCGATTCATATCCCTACAGTTAGTATGTTTCAAGAGAGCTTCCGCATAAAATAGGTAGACTCTCCATGTTTAAATTTTTCGAGACAATGCTATCCGTCAACATTTTGACTATTATTTTGAAATTATTCTCAAATTTAAGCTTTATTAGTGATCAAAGAAAAAAAAATTTGTATTAATTTACTATAATAGGTATAGTATTTGGTTACAGACTAAAAAATTATACTATGAAATACGAGTTGCTGTTATGTTTATGATTGGGAAAGATTCTAAGCCTTCTTTGCAATAATCTAATTTTTCTCTCTATTATTTGTATTCTTGCAATTAGTAAGTCTTGTATTTGTTCTTTTTATTAAGGGAGCTTCAGCAAAAAATGGATAGACTCTGCTTTAGAGAAAAGGGTCTAATATTATCCGTCAATTTTTTACTATATATTATTTTCAAATTTGAGCTTTGTCAGAGATCACAGAAAAAAATAAAGCTTTTCCTAACGACGAGATAATATTAAACCTAAAATTTAATGAAACTAAAAGTTGCTCAAAAAGGATAAAGGAAAATTTGTCCCTATCGTTTGAATGGGTTTCGATCAAATATAAAATTGACATTTGTCGAACAAACAATTTTAGGCCATAAAACAAGTGTGCACGAATATAATCCGAATTGATTGGAAATTATCTCGTGAATTTCAATGTTTTTTGCGTAATTAACAGCTTGTTTGGATGGTTATTACGCATCGTTTCATAATGTATCTTATCGTACTATATTGTATTGTACTGTATCGTTTGATAAATACAATATTTGGATAGATTGTGTCGTTTGTCATCGTTCCATGATATCACGCACCAGCAATATGAAGAATAAACTTGCAATATTATAAAGAAAAATTATGATACAAGATAAAATTACTATATAAAAAAGTAGAGTAAATGATAAAATAAAATAATTTAATAATAACAAAAGGTGAGATTGAGAGAAAAAGACAAGATAACGACGCGATCACACCAAATCGGTCGTTACATAAAGTGGCACATTTCGTCGTTATACAACGACGGATTTAACGATACGATACAATAAAATTTAAGTAACAATCAAAACAAATATTGTATTTAAAGTAACAATACGATACGATACAATGGGTAATAACCATCCAAACAAGCTGTAAAACTCTTCACATAATTAATAATGTCATTTTCTTAGAAAAATATTGCAATTTGCAATGCCTGAGGAAAGTGTGAATTTTTATTTTTGGTATATCACTCGTTTGTCTTGGATATAAATTACTACCTTTTATGAGTTGGGACCAACAACAAAATAGGCCACGCTTCTTTCTTTTAGTCCACATAATATCTAATTACAAGAATAATTATTCAACGTAAAACAAACTAAATAAGTACGTAAACAATATGTATTTGAAAATAAATATTTATCACTTAATTATATCAAATAATATACCTATTTTTTGTTTATTACTTAATTATAATAAGTTAGTAATATGATTTGATGTAAATATCATATATGAAAATTACTTATTAAATGCTCCATACATTAAGCAAGACCAGGAAAGCGAAAAAATGCACACTTGTTATAAAATATAACCAAAATAACAATATAGAACAAGCAAAAACAAACTAAGAGATATAGAGAGAAAGAGAGGAAGAGAGATTCTTATTTCTTCTTCAATTATGTGTATTTTTCTATCTATTACAAGGCCTTTATATATGCATAAAAGTGAAGAAAATATGTCATGGAATATGTCATTAAACATTTGAGATGAAGATCATGGAAGAAGAGTAGACATAGATAATGTGCCTCGTTAAAACCTGATTAGGAAAAAACCCTATGGGAAAAAAATCCTAGTGAAGGAAAAAGAGTACACATGTTTAGAAATACGCCTTTTAGTTGCCTCGTTAAAAACCTTGCAAGAAAAATTCAGTGGGATAAAACCATGTAAGGGACCCCTGATGAGAGCATCAACTCGCATCCTTGAGTCTTCGCATCCCAATTTTGTACACCATTTTCTTGAAGGTTGATGTTGGTAGAGATTTGGTGAACAAATCAGCCATATTATCACTTGAACGAATCTGTTGCACATTGATATCACCATTCTTTTGAAAATCATGTGTAAAAAATAACTTTGGTGAAATGTGTTTTGTCCTATCTCCTTTTATGAATCCTCCCTTCAATTGGGCTATGCATGCTGCATTGTTTTCATACAAAATTGTGGGTAGTTTTTCACACTTCAAACCACATTTGTCTCGGATAAGATATATTATAGACCTCAACCAAATACATTCTCGACTTGCTTCATGAATAACAATTATCTCAGCATGATTAGAAGAAGTAGCCACGATTGATTGCTTAGTCGATCGCCAAGATATGGCAGTGCCGCCACATGTAAACACATAACCTGTTTGAGATCGAGCCTTATGCGGGTCAGATAAATACCCAGCATCGGCATAACCAACAAGATCGGGATTGCAATCATTGCCATAAAATAAGCCCATATCGGTAGTCCCTTTTAGATATCGCAATATGTGTTTGATCCCATTCTAGTGTCTCCTTGTAGGAGCAGAGCTATATCTTGCTAAGACATTAATCGAAAAAGTTATGTCAGGCCTTTTAGTGTTAGCAAGATACATTAGTGCACCAATTGCACTAAGATATGGTACTTCAGGACCAAGAAGCTTTTCATTCTTTTCTTGAGGTCGAAATGGATCCTTATTCACATCAAGTGATCGAACAATCATCGGAGTACTTAATGGATGTAATCCATCCATGTAAAACCGTTTCAATACCTTTTAAATGTAGGCAGATTGATGAACAAAAATCTCATTTGTCAAATGTTCAATTTGCAAACCGAGACATAATTTTGTCTTTCCGAGATCTTTCATCTCGAATTCCTTCTTTAAATAATCAATTGCCTTTTGGAGTTCTGTAGGAGTTCCAATAAGGTTTATGTCATCGACATATACGGCAAGTACAACAAATTCCGATGTTGTTTTCTTTATAAAACACATGGACAAATGACATCATTTATATAACCCTACTTTAATAAATACTCACTAAGACGGTTATAGCACATTCTTCCTGATTACTTTAGACCATACAAAGATCTTTGCAATTTAATTAAAAATATTTTCGGGACTTTGAATTCTGTGTGTTAGGCATTTTAAATCCCTCGAGAATTTTCATGTATATCTCATTATCAAGTGAGTCGTAAAGGTAGGCTGTAACTACATCCATTAAATGCATGTCAAGCTTTTCATGGACAGCAAAACTAATGAGATAACGGAATGTATAGCATCCATAACAGGAGAATATATCTCTTCATAATCGACACCAGGCCTTTGTGAAAATCCTTGTGCAACAAGACGTGCCTTATATCTTTGTACCTCATTTTTTTCATTCCTTTTGCGTACAAAGACCCATTTATAGCCAACAGGCTTAACACCATTAGGTGTTTGGAGTACAGGCCCAAAAACTTCACGTTTTGCAAGTGAACTTAACTCTAATTGGATTGCTTCTTGCCATTTTGGCCAATCAAGCCTTTGTCGACATTCTTCAACAGATTGAGGTTCAAGATCCTCACTTTCTTGTATAATGTTAGATACAACATTATATGCAAAGATGTAATCCACCACTATATCCATTCGATTCAAATTTGTCTCAATATCGATTGGATTTATTGATAGTTCCTTATTTTCTTGAGTCTCAAGCTCATTAATTTCCTCATGAATCTCAGGATTGGTTAAATTGTGAATTTCTTTATGAGACTCTTTTGTAGTGTCATCTTGATCATTTGTTTTCCTTTTTCTAGGATTTCGATCCTTAGAACCTAATGGTCTACCATGTTTTAGGCGTGCTTTTGACTCATTAGCTATGACACTAGAAGATTGTCCAATAGGGACATCAATACGTATTGGGACATTCTCTGCAGGGATATGTGATTTTGTTATCCTTTTCAGATCCGTAAATGCATCTGGCATTTGATTTGCTATTTTCTGCAAATGGATAATCTTTTGCACCTCTGTGTCACAAATAGAGGCACGTGGATCAAGATGAGACAATGATGTATTTTTCCACAAAATTTCACGTTTGGTTTCACTAATTTCTCCCCCTAATTTTGGGAAAAATGCCTTATCGAATCGACAATCTGCAAAACGAGCAGTGAACAAATCTCCCATCAATGTTTCAAGGTAGCGAATAATGGAGGGCGATTCAAACCTAACATATATTCCCAACCTTCTTTGGGGACCCATCTTGGTGCGATATGAGGGTGTTACAAGCAAATATACAGCGCATCCAAAAATTCTTAGATGAGATATATTAGGTTCATGACATAAAACTAATTGCAACGGGGAATATTTGTGATAATTTGTTGGTCTAAGACGAATTAGCATTGCTGCATGTAAAATGGCATGACCCCAAACAGAAGTGGGCAACTGCGTTTTCATCAGTAACTGTCTTGCTATCAATTGTAGACATTTAATTAAAGACTTTGCAAGGCCATTTTGAGTGTGAACATAAGCTATAAGATGTTCCACTTTTATTCCAATTGATAAGCAATAATCATTAAATGTTTGGGATGAAAACTCAGCAGCATTATCAAGTTTAATAGACTTAATTGGATTATCGGAAAATTGTGCCCGTAATCGGATTATTTGTGCCATTAATTTTGCAAACGCGGGGTTGCGAGATGACAATAGGCATACATGAGACCATCTAGAAGATGCATCTATTAAGACCATAAAATATCTTAACGACCCACTAGGTGGG